TTCGTGCCACGTGCGACGATCCGACAACATGGGAGCAGCAGCTGCCGCTGATTGAGTTCGCGTACAACAACGCCACGTCAGCGACGACGCAGCAGTCCCCATTCTACCTGAACTACGGGCAAAATCCTACTGTGCCCATGACGCCGAGTCCGGACAACCCAACGCCACGCGCACAACAATTCGCCGAGATTCTGCAAGCTGCCCGCACCAGAGCCACTGAAGCAATTAAAAAGGCAAATATCATCGCTAAGCGCAACGCTGACCGCCACCGCCGCCCAGTCACGTACCAGTCAGGAGATTACGTACTGCTCGACACACAGAACCTAAGACTTCCCGTCGTACCGAAATTACGACCGCGGTACTGTGGACCCTTCCAAATCAGCCACATGATCACCCCAGTGACAGCACACTTACTGTTGCCGACAGACTGGTACATGAGCCCATCGTTCCACGTCAGCCTGCTTCGCCCATACATCCCAACCACGAGCCAACTGCCTCGTCACCGCCCGCCGTCCATGACTCGCCCTGCATCGGAGCCGATCATCGAGCCCGAAAAAATCCTGAGCCATCGGATTCGACACCCCACGGGAATCAGGAGGATTGAGTTCCTCGTTCGCTGGAAGGACCGCACGCCAACTGAGGATAGCTGGGTGCCCCTGGCCACCATCGAAAACCACCCTGCCCTGCAAGTGTACCTGAGGAGCCGGGGTTTCCGCGATATACACGCACTCGCGTAGCGGAGGGGCTTCTTGAGGGGGGGGGGTAGTGTAAGGAATTTTCTTGACATTCCTTAGCGCGCCCTGCAACATCGCGTACAGCAGCAGCCGTTGTTCGCCCGTTACTGCTAACGGGGCTTCGCCAAATTCGCGCGCACTGTTTTCACCAAACCTCGCACTGCTGGCCCAGCCGTGTCGGCCTACGCTTCGGGACTAGCCCGAACCTCCCTGCCAGCGTAGCATTAGCTAGCTCGCACGCACCGCGTTGCCGTTTGCATGTTTCGCGTATAAATGTTCGCTCATGCCTTCGCTCACATTTTGTACTCGTTTGACACTTAGTGCAATCCTAGCTACCTCGATTCATTGCACCCGTAACATATTGTAACATTGCACTATTTCTAGTGGTTCATAGTGAGTTGTTTTCAGCCCACTCAGTGTCACGTGATTGTGCGTGTGTTTTCACGTGACAATCCCACCCACCTGTTGCCTCTTTCTCCCAACCACCCACCTCGTCATAGCCTCTACCTCCACCCCGCCATCCTTTCTTTCCCACCGCGCCGTCCTCTCTCCCTCCCACCCACCATCGCCTCCCACCCGCCGTCGCCTCTCCTTCCTACCCGCCGTCGCCTCTCCCTCCTCCCCGCCGTCGCCTCTCCCTCCTCCCCGCCGCCGCCTCTCCCTCCTCCCCGCCGTCGCCTCTCCCTCCTCCCCGCCGTCGCCTCTCCCTCCTCCCCGCCGTCGCGTATCCCTCCTCCCCGCCGCCGCCTCTCTCTCCTCCCCGCCGTCGCCTCTTCCTCCTCCCCGCCGTCGCCTCTCCCTCCTCCCCGCCGTCGCCTCTCCCTCCTCCCCGCTCTCGCCTCCGGCGATAGGTGCCCGGAGCGCAAGCGCGAGTTGGAGCGCGAGCACGAGTTGGTGCGCGAGCGCGGGTTGGTGCACCAGCGCGGGTTGTTTTCTGAGGCACCGTGGTTATCAGGTGCGGTCCCGGTCCTTTCATCCTCCATCCCCCTGCTAATGTTTCCTTTATTTTCTGCTCTCGTCGTAAATTTTATGTGTCAATTGGTCTCCTCTTGCATTGCAATTTCATTTGAAGAAGGGGAGAGACTCAGCGCGAGGGAGAGCGTGCGCACGGGAGCGAACGCGCGTGAGAGAGAGCGTGAGAGAGAGCGTGAGAGAGCGCATGAGAGAGAGCGTGAGAGAGCGTGTGAGAGAGAGCATGAGAGAGCGCGTGAGAGTGCGCGCGTGAGAGTGCGCGCGTGAGAGTGCGCGTGAGAGTGCGCGTGAGAGTGCGCACGTGAGGGAGCGCGTGAGAGTGCGCGAGAGTGCGCGCGTGTGAGTGCGCGCGAGAGTGCGCGTGAGAGGCCGCGAGAGAGGGCGTGAGGGAGCGCGTGAGGGAGCGCGTGAGAGTGCTCGTGAGAGTGCTCGTGAGAGTGCGCGAGAGTGCGCGTATGAGAGTGCGTGTGAGAGTGCGGGTGAGAGGCCGCGTTAGAGGCCGTGTGAGAGGTCGCGTGAGAGGGCATGTGAGAGGGCATGTGAGAGAGCGCGTGAGAGAGTGCGTCAGAGTGCGCATGAGAGTGCGCGTGAGAGAGCGCGTGAGGGAGCGCGTGAGGGTGCGTGTGCGAGAGATCGTGAGAGTGCGCACGTGAGAGAGCGCGTGAGAGAGCGCGTGAGGGAGCGCGTGAGAGTGCTCGTGAGAGTGCGCGTGAGAGTGCGCGCGAGAGTGCGCGCGAAAGTGCGCATGAGGGAGCGCGTGAGGGAGCGCGTGAGGGAGCGCGTGAGAGAGCGCGTGAGAGTGCCGCGCGTGAGAGTGCCGCGCGTGAGAGTGCGCGTGAGAGAGTTCGTGAAAGTGCGCGTGAGAGAGCGCATGAGGTAGCGCGTGAGGTAGCGCGTGAGGTAGCGCGTGAGAGCGCGTGAGGTAGCGCGTGAGAGTGCGCGTGAGGGAGCGCGTGAGAGAGTTCGTGAAAGTGCGCGTGAAAGTGCACGTGCGAGAGCGTGTGAGGTAGCGCGTGAGGTAGCGCGTGAGAGTGCTCGTGAGAGTGCGCGTGAGAGTGCGCGCGAGAGTGCGCATGAGAGAGCGCATGAGGGAGCGCGTGAGGGTGCGTGTGAGAGAGCGCGTGCGAGTGCGCGTGAGAGAGCTCGTGAAAGTGCGCGTGAAAGAGCGCGTGAAAGTGCGAGAGTGAATGTGAGTGTAAATATGATGGTGTAGGGTTTGGGGTGAGTGTGAGCTCGAGTGAGAGGGTAGTTCAAGGGTGAGTGATAGGATGAGTGGGTGTGCGTGTGAGTGCAAGGCTGAGAGCGAGACTGCGTGCAAGTGTGTGTCTTAGGGTGAATGCGAGAGCAGGTGCGAGTGTGAGTGCAAGGGTGCGTGTGAGTGTGCTTGCGTGCGCGTGTAAGTATTTGTGTTAGTATGATTGGGAATGAGAACGATCATGAGTGCGGAGGTAAGTGTCAGAGTGAACGTGTAGGTTTGTATGTGTGTTTCTGTGAGTGTGTCTAAGAAAGTTGAGAGTATTTGTGCGTGTGTGAGTGGGTGCGGGATTGAGTACAAGATTGAGTGCGAACGTGAGTGTGAAGTTGAACTTGAGGGTGGCTTCAAGGTATGGCATCATGCTGGTGTAGTATCTGTGGTGCCACGACCAATACCAATTTACCTCTGTGAGGTGTCAACCCGATTGCTCATCTTTTTCTATTGTGCTTATTCCGTCTCTAGTGTGTGAGCTGCATTCTCTGATTTTGTCTTCTTGTGCAATGCTATGAGGTGTACTCTCTTTGTTTTCGCTTTCTTATGCAGTGTGGGTGAGTTGTTTTCTGCTTGGCCTCCTTGCAGGGCACATGAGTTGCATCCTCTGTTTTTGCTTTCTTGTACACAGTATGTGAACATCCTCTGTTTTTGCTTTCTTATGCAGGGCGTGTGTTGCATTCTCTGTTTTTGCTTTGTGCAGGGCGCGTGAGCTGCATTCCTTGATTATGTTTGGCGGAGAAAGGAGATGAGGGAGGCAATGGGAGGGAGATGAGAGAGGGAGGGATGGAGGGAGGAAGGGAGGGAGGGAGGGAGGGAGGGAGGGAGGGAGGGGTGTAGGGAGGGAGGGAGGGAGGGGTGTAGGGAGGGAGGGAGGGAGGGAGGGGTGTAGGGAGGGTAAGGGGTGATTGGCAAGTGATGATTTATTAATAGCTGAATTTCATGATGGTTGTGTGTTGACTATCCGTATGTATCTGTGCTTGTTTGCGTGCGTGTCAGTGTGTATGTGTGAGTGTGAGCCTGTGTGAGATATGTATGTGCAGTCGTGTTTGTATCGTTTGTGTCTGTCTCAAGGCGTGTGCTGAAGTGCCTCGTGTATGCAACTCAGGTTGTGATCGCCGGTGGGGCAATAGCCTTAGCGTGCCAGACCAATCTTTGTTGCATCATCGATGCATTTTAGCATTCTCCCCAAGACACTCGTACCGTAATTGTTATGTGTTGTCGTTTTTGTTGTACCAGCAGTACAATGTCACGTGTGCTTGTTCATGTTTGTTGTAAGGTGTCATGTTAAAGCTCGCGTCTCAGATTTTCAACATTTTAACACTTGGTTGGGTTTTCCCGTCTGTGATTGGGAAACGAATGACGAAATATTTGACGAGTGGGTGAAAGAAACACTGCGAACTCCCAAACAGTCGAGGCCAAAACAAACCAGGGTGGGTTGGTTTGGGTGGAAAACGAGCCAAGGGGGACAGGTTTGGTCCCGGGTTCTGTCAACGTTGAGTTCAGAGTCTCATATTTTCGAGAGTTGTAAACGCTTGGTGTGCACGGGGAAGTGTGCGACAGCCAACTTTCCCAAACCACCCCTTGCTTTGGTGTGCTTTGCGACAAACTCTGCTGTTACCGGATTCCAACCGTTTAACACTTGGTTGGATGGCAGAAATATGAGACGCGAGCTTTAAAGCCAGCAGCTAAAATAGTGACCCCCCCCCCCCCAACTTGAAAACGTGCTATGTGTGATGAGTCGGTTGAAGTGAAGTGAAACAGAAATCGGGCTGTTTCAAATAATCCTTGCAGGCAGATTGAACTCACGCGATTGGCTCCCACCAAAACAAACATTCGCGCTTGCACAACGAGTCGCTTTTCTACACCTGCACGACAGTTGCACGGCGACAGTTTTGATCGTTGGAGACTACCTCAACTTCAAGTTGGGAGGGGGTTCACTACTCCCCATTTTCCACTCGTGCGTCTAGTTTCTTTTACTAGCATAGAATAGTTGAGAACCTAGACCTTACCCGCCTAGCAGCGTGAGTTTTACATTAGAGGCTTGGATGGGTAATACATTAGTGGGGCGCATTGCTCTTTCGCATCTCGCGCAATTGTCACGCTCCTCACTGTCGGCCCCTCGCTCTCCGCCGCGCTTCCTCTCTCCCGTCGCGCCATCCTCTCTCCGTCGCGCTTCCTCCTTCCGTCGCGCCGTCGCCCTTCCTCTCTCCCTTCGCCCTTCCTCTCTCCCGTCGCGCTTCCTCCCTCCGTCGCGCTTCCTCCTTCCGTCGCGCTTCCTCTATCCCGTCGCCTTCCTCTCGGCCTTCGCCCTTCCTCTCTCCCGTCGCGCCTTTCTCTCTCCGTCGCGCTTCCTCTCTCCGTCGTGCTTCCTCTCTCTGTCGCGCCTTACTCTCTCCGTCGCGCTTCCTCCCTCCGTCGCGCTTCCTCTCTCCCATCGCCTTCCTCTCTCCCTTCGCCCTTCCTCTCCCGTCGCCCTTCCTCTCTCCCGTCGCCCTTCCTCTCTCCCGTCGTTTTCCTCTCTCATGTTGCCCTTCGCCTCTCCCGTCGCCCTTCCTCTCTCGTTGCCCTTCCTCTCTCCCATTGCCCTTCCTCACTCCCGTCTCCCTTCTTCTTCCGCCTCCCGCCGCCCTCGCGTCCCATCGCAATCGCCTTTCCAACGCACTCCCGCCGCCCTCGCGTCCCATCGCAATCGCCTCCCGTCACCCTCCGTGTCGGCCTCCCGTTGCTCGTACTGCCGCTCGTCCCGTCGCCCATCCAATCGCACTACCGTCGCTCGTCCCGTCGTTCGTTACGAACGCCCGACTGTTCCGACGCCCTCGCGAAATCCTCTGCCATCTCGTAGTAATATCGACCTTCCTGCAGCCAACCAGTTCTGCTATCTTTTCTTGATCTAAAAATAGGAATCTTAATTTCGTAAATAATTACCTCCCCTCGCGTCGTTCCTCTTCTCTTCCCTCCCCTCCCGTCGATCCCTCTCCAGGTCCTTGTTCCCGTTCCCTCGCTCTCTCTCCCTCCCTTCCCGTCGCCCTCGCTCTCTCCCCTCCCTTCCCGTCGCCCTCGCTCTCTCCCCCCATTTTCCGTCGCCCTCGCTCTCTCCCCTCCTTTTCCGTGGCCCTTATTCTCTTCCATCCCTTTCCGTCGCCCTTGCTCTCCCCTCCCTTTCCGTCGACCTTGCTCTCTCCTCTCCCTTTCCGTCGCCCTTGCCCTCTCCCCTCCCTTTCCGTTGCCCTCGCTCCAGCTCATCTCACCTTCCCCAATGCTCCTCCCATCACCCTACCATTCCGCGGATTTTTCACACGCACATCTGTTGCACTATCTGTTCTCTCGTCCTCTGATATCCTCTATTTTTTTGCTTCTTGTTTTTCCCATGCTGTTATTGCCGCCCTGCAGGCCGATGTCTAAGGCCTTCGCTTTGCGTGGGTTGGGCTTGCTTTGCATGAGTTGGACATGCTTCACGTTGTGAATTTGGCGCTGAATGTAAATGAGACTTGCACGTCGCAAACTTTTGAGCGACGCATTTGCACATGCTTGCGACGAATTTTATTAGAGACGAAATGTGGAAATACGATCAGTATCATATGCGCGTGCAAAAAAAAAACAGAAGCACTTCAACTTTCTAGTGGACCCAACTAGAAGGGGGGGGTCACTATTTTAGCTGCTGGCTTTAAAGTGTGTCGGGTCTGCAATTGAGGTGGGGATCGTTGTTGGTGTTGGAAACAATCAGTCTTAAGCGCCTCTGTCGTGTCGAAACACCAAGACACAAGCGAAGCAAAGCATATCGAGGCACCAGCGAGTCAACCCTCGGAGGTTGAAGTAACCGCTGGAGGTTACGCGAAAGTCAAAGGTCAGCGACCTTTGACCTGACAGAGTACAGCGCGACAGCAAGGACACACAACTGACTCGCTACAGAGCAGTTGCCCGAGTCGTCACTGTATCGAACCGCAACAGCAAACAGTAAAGTAGTTGCAACCGTATCCTTTCGTATTCCTTGTACTCTTATATAATCTTGTATCTCTTTGCCTTAATTAATCTACTTTGCCCTCACATACTATTACATCAGTCCCACTCAGAGTTCATCCCTGCAAAGATCCTAAGGGCTTTTCTCAGCCCAACATGGTATGAGAGCAGTCAGGGAGAATTCGACTTCTATTAAAATACCGACAGCATCAACAAGCATGGCTACACAAAAGGAAAGGAGCTCCTCCAACGGCTCCCAAGGCACTACTCCTACTCCACCTCCTGCCTCTGGTCTACAGACAGAGGAGGGTACGGCAACAAGACCCAGGGCAACATCCACCGAGACTCCTGCAAATCAACCTGCAGGCTTCGATCAGAGCATGATGGAGAAGTTTTTCTCCTTCATGTCCTTCTACGAGCAACACCAACAGTCGGCACCTGCGCAGTCGAACAACAGCAACAATAACAACGGAGCAACTCCCATGAGTCTCGACGGCTCATCATACGCACGAGGAAATCAACAGCAGCCTACCTTTGCTCCGTACGAGCGCGGGTCCATCAGTTTTATGCCACACCCGCAGCCTTCACCTGGACAAGAAAAGCCACTGGACGCATTACAAGTTCAGTCGCAGTTCGCGCACGTTCTAAAGATGCAGACGTCAAGACCTTTCGATGGAAAGGATTTCTTCACCTGGTCGTTTGAATTCGAGTTAATGATGGAAGGCGCGCAGATACTTGGCTTCTTCGACGGGTCCCTGCCATACCCAACGAACGGCACACAGTATGAGAAGCAGCAGTACACCTATCAGTCGATGATGGCGTACACGATTCTACTGAGAAACATCACCCCGTCCCAACAGCAGAATATACGGTCTTACCGGGGTTACGGCAACTCCGCGGAGCTCGCGTACAACCACTTGAAGAGCCTGTATCAAGCAACAGACAGCGTAAATCAAAGTCGGTTAATGGCGCAACTGACAACGGTCGAAATGAAACCAGGCGAGAAAGGAATGGCGTATATCAGCCGATGTCGCGAGTTGCGCGACAAGCTTCTTCGATGCGGAGGGTCGATTTCTGAAGACGCCTTCGTGACAGTTATCATTGGCAGCCTCGGTCCTCAATGGCGCGCAAGAAAGGCCATTCTCCGAGCCCACGGAAGAATCTCCGAAGCAGCGCTCTGCGCCGAAATCCACGCCGAGCAGCAAGACATGGACCTGCAAGAAGAACGACACAAGAAGAAGACATCAACACCGGAATTCGCATTCCATACTCAGCGACGCTACAACAACAAACAACAACAACCGAAACCCGTACCTCCGTTCTGCCATATCTGCAAGACGTCAGGGCACCCGCGCACGCACTGCCCGAATCGACAACAGTCAACGCCTTCACAGCGACAGCTTCGACCTTCAAGCAGCCAAGTCACTTCAATACAAGCGAACCCCACCGCTCAAGCTCAAACGACACCGACGGGACAACCTGCACAAGGAGCAAGGAACATCGTCAGTTGCATGGCAAAACTGTCGGATTCCTGCACCACTGAATCACCACCGCACTACTCACCAGAAGAACAACTTGACGAAAGGACTCCGCACCATGAGACACTGGAGCCGAACCCGACATACGCAGCTATCGCCCAGAGTGAACCATCCGGGAAAGACACATGGTTCCTGGACAGTTGCTGCGGGCAACATATGTGTTCTTCGGGACGCTTCGTTCAACGCGAACACCATCTTCAACGCGAGGTCGTCATTACCGTCGCCAACAATCAGAACCTGCGCACACGACGACAAGGCGTGGTTCAAATTCAGTGAAGGGAAACAAATGTCATACTGCAAATGTCAAAGGTCCTAATCGCGGAGGGACTCGGCTACAACTTACTGAGCGTCAGCCAGTTTATGGCTAAAGGCATCCACCTCGAAGCAGACAGCACAACTCAGGAGTTCAAGTTGTACCACGGGAGAGGAGGTCTTTACATCGGCAAAGCCATACTGAAGAATAACGTGTTCGTCCTCGACTTCGTCCCAGACTTAGGCACCGCCGATAGCGATGGAATCGTCACCTTCACCTCCTGGACACACCCACCGGATCTTGACCCTGACTTCAGCCCCGAAGGGTTCTGGTATTCGCATACCATTCCCGAGGCAGAACGAACACGAGCATTAGCAACGATTCAACACTCGGCAGCAGCAGAAACAACATCGGCAGCAGCAGAGACAACATCGGCAGCAACAGAAACAACATCGGCAGCAGCAGAAACAACATCGGCAGCAGCAGAGACAACATTGGCAGCAGCAGAAACAACATCGGGCAGCAGCAGAGACAACGTCGGCAGCAGCAGAAACAACATCGGCAGCAGCAGGAACGTCAACGCCAGTCGCTGGTCCTTCAACGGCACCACTCCTCGTCGACGACACACCACCGACACCCGCGCAACAACTACACCCAGCACCACGTGAAGTTCATCGAAGCGCCAACTTCACCGCCAGCTTCTATTCCAACTCCGATATGTATCGGCGCTCACCCGGACATCGCGCCACCGAAGGAACCTGGCACGCAAGAATGGGACATCCAAGCAACACGGTGTTAAACAACACGATAAGAGCAGGCGTACTCGATAAAGACTCTCTACTCCTAACTGACGGCAGAGAACTTCAGCGAGCTCGAGGAACATGCTTCACCTGTCCTGAAGCTGACTTACCACATCAACCGTTCGCGTCTCACCACAACCCAAGCGCACCAGCTTACGCACCACTCGAGAAGGTGTACAGCGACATCTTGTACAACCGCAAACCTGGACAAAACGCGTACAACTACACCATCACCTTCATCGACGCCGCCACACGATACGTCTGGCATCTAAACCTTCCGAGCAAAGACATGGCCTTCGAAGCCTTCGTCGCGTGGCTCCCAGTAGCACAGCGAGAGTCGGGCGTCAAACTGAAGAGCTTCCAGTCAGACGGGGGAGGAGAATACACCTCACAAAGGTTCAAGCAGTACTTGGCTGAAAGAGGAATCAAGCGGCTCATCTCCCTTCCCTACGCCCATCAACAGCAAGGAGTAGCAGAGAGGATGAACAGAACCCTCCAGAACACCATGCGCAAGCTGCTACGTGGCATGCACCTGCCCAACCACCAATGGCCCGAAGCAATGGACCACGCCGTCACGCTGCACAACTTGCTCTCGTCATCATCGCTCCCGAACAACGCATCACCGCACCTGCTGTGGACAGGAAAGCAGGGCAGCAAAAAAATGTTAAGGGTCTTCGGCTGCATGGTACAGTACCGGCCCCCATCTGCACGAGCCGGCCGATTCTCTCAACGCGCACAGTGGGGGCTACACCTGGGCATCGAAAAGCATTACAACGCATGGAAAATTTTCGACGTCGAGACAAAAGAGACAGTGGCAGCACGTGACGTTATTTTCTACGAAAAACTCACCCTCCGGTATTACCTTGCCAACTTGCAAGAAGAAAACCCCGACCGCTCCGCTGGTTTTCAAGGCACCCGAGCCTTCGCCTCGGCAGACGACGAAGCTGACTGGGACGAGCAGAACATGGAAGGAGCCTCGGAAGAAGCCGGACCCCTCCCCTACTGCTCCGTCGACGTGCCAATGGACGACGAAAACCCACGCAAAAGCATCAACGCCGACGCCTACTACCATTTCGCTGACAACGGTTACGTTACACCTGCACAAGTCAACACCGACGAAGCAGAACGCGTAGGACCTAATTTCGCACCTGATCCAGAAGCGGGAGACGAAGCAGTTTATCCCGAGGACACTTCACTCCCCCGCTACACACAGAGTGGACTCCAAATCCTTGGTCTCGTCACTGCAGTTCACGGCGCAGCCATTCCTAAAGAGCCTGCGACAGTTCAACAGGCTCTGGGGGGGGAACATAAGGAAAAATGGCGCGAAGCCATGGACAAGGAGTTAAAGGCGCTGGAGGAACGCAACACCTGGAAGGTCGTCCCTATCGGCGTAGCACGTAACAAAACAGTACTCACCGGGAAATGGGTCTTCCGTGTGAAGACAAAAGCAGACGGCACCATCGACAAGTTTAAAGCGCGCTGGGTCGTACGCGGCTTCGATCAAGAGCACGGACGCGACTTCACCGAAACGTTCGCCCCAGTCAGCCGACACACTTCACTTCGAATCCTTCTCGCGATCGCCGCCATGAAAAAGAAGATGCGGCAAATCGACGTCGCGAATGCATTCCTCTACGCACCTGTTGACGCCGAAATCTTCGTCGAACTTCCACACGGCTCCAACGGAGAGCCCAATCAAGTCTGTCAGCTGCTGAAGTCGCTCTACGGCATCAAGCAAGCTCCACGGCTATGGCAACAATACCTGCACGCTCGCCTCATTCGCATCGGCT